TCATAAGAGATACTTATTCCTCAATGAGTATGAGTTATGAAAATACAGTTCTGTGAGACAATAAAGAAAGTTTTTCTAAGTGGAAAAAGTGATAAGCAAAGCTCCAGTACGCTGTCGGCAGAAACTAAACTTGTGCAAAACCGTGCATACAGAAGATCAATGCCAAACAGGAATAAAATAGATATAGTAGAACTAACAAACACTATAAATAATAAGGAGGATATACAAATTCAACATTCAGAAAATAAATGAAACAGAAATTTCAGACACCAGTATTAAAACAGTAAAAGAAGCTAGGAAATGGGAAAATCAAAAGTATGCAAAAGTTATGAAACCTGACGGAGGAGTGACGCGTAACAAAAATTTAATTATCAGAGATTTATGCAGCTCTAATGATCAGCAGCAGACAGATGTAAATGCATTAAATAGAGAGGTACCTGTCATCTGAGCAGAGGAAATAAAAAGGTGTTTTTAGCCTTATTAACGGTAAAACTCCGAAAGCTTGGAAAATTATTCTAGTTTACCAAAAGAAGACATAAAGGATCAATCACATATCTACAAACTGTTCACAAATGCCATCACAACCTGTATCTTCGACACACTAGATTCTAACCAGAATCTAACCAGATTGTGGAGAACACACAGGCTTCCGCAGTAGGTTCTCAGCAAAACATCAGATGCACACATTAGGTAGTGGATGGGAATATATAACTATGACAGCATATGCAGACACACACGTCCAATGAAGAGTAAATGGAGCGACGAATCAGACTAGGCTTAAAGAGGGGACTAGAGACGAATGGAAAGGCTGATGTTGGGAATTGACTAAAGACAGAATGAGGGTAACAGGGATCTGAGAACAGACAAAAGTGGAAGATACGCCTTGGGACAGTAAAAAGAAGAAATGGCAACGGGCAGGTCACATACGTTGGGGACAGGGCAAAAGCTGGACAAAAAAGTTGCAGACTGGGACATAACACAAAGAGGCCAAGGGCTAGACCAGTGATAAGATGGCGTGGGGAAATATGGATATTCTGGGTCCAAAAAAAAAACGACAGTAAATTGTTATAGGCTGATGATGATGATATATAAGAGTGTATGTGCTCACTGGTTATTTTGTATGTTAAATTTTAAAACAACTCTAGCATTAAGACAAAATGGATACAAATTCAGATTAGTATTTACCTCTCTTGCATTCAGCATTTTCTTTGTCGTCCCACGCCGTGCCCTCTGCGTTTTCTTTGTCTGTGGGATTCACTTCCTCGTCTTCATAACAACTATCCTGGTCCCTTCTTCCTGTTCTCATCTTCGTGGCTTGATACTTTTCCTCGTCTTCATCACAGCTATCCTGATCCCTTCTTCCTGTTCTCATCTTCGTGGCTTGATACTTTTCCTCGTCTTCATCACAGCTATCCTGGTCCCTTCTTCCTGTTCTTATCTTCGCGGTTTGATACTTTTCCTCGCTTTCATCACTATCCTGGTCCCTTCTTCCTGTTCTCATCTTCGTGGCTTGATACTTTTCCTCGTCTTCATCACAATCCTGGTCCCTTCTTCCTGTTCTTATCTTCGCGGCTTGATACTTTTCCTCGCCTTCATCACTATCCTGGTCCCTTCTTCCTGTTCTCATCTTCGCTGGCTTGATACTTTTCCTCGTCTTCATCACAGCTATCCTGGTCCCTTCTTCCTGTTCTCATGTCTGTGGCTTGATACTTTTCCTCGTCTTCATAACGACTATCCTGGTCCCTTCTTCCCGTTCTCATCTTCGCGGCTTGATACTTTTCCTCGTCTTCATCACTATCCTGGTCCCTTCTTCCTGTTCTCATGTCTGTGGCTTGATACTTTTCCTCGTCTTCATCACTATCCCGATCCCTTCTTCCTGTTCTCATGTCTATGGCTTGATACTTTTCCTCGTCTTCATAACGACTATCCTGGTCCCTTCTTCCCGTTCTCATCTTCGCGGCTTGATACTTTTCCTCGTCTTCATCACTATCCCGATCCCTTCTTCCTGTTCTCATCTTCGTGGCTTGATACTTTTCCTCGCCTTCATCACTATCCTGGTCCCTTCTTCCTGTTCTCATATCTGTGGCTTGATACTTTTCCTCGTCTTCATCACAGCTATCCTGGTCCCTTCTTCCTGTTCTCATGTCTGTGGCTTGATACTTTTCCTCGTCTTCATAACGACTATCCTGGTCCCTTCTTCCCGTTCTCATCTTCGTGGCTTGATACTTTTCCTCGTCTTCATCACTATCCTGGTCCCTTCTTCCTGTTCTTATCTTCGTGGCTTGATACTTTTCCTCGTCTTCATAACGATTATCCTGGTCCCTTCTTCCTGTTCTTATCTTCGTGGCTTGATACTTTTGCTCGTCTTCATAACGATTATCCTGGTCCCTTCTTCCTGTTCTCATGTCTGTGGCTTGATACTTTTCCTCGTCTTCATCACAGCTATCCTGGTCCCTTCTTCCCGTTCTCATCTTCGTGGCTTGATACTTTTCCTCGTCTTCATCACTATCCTGGTCCTTTCTTCCTGTTCTCATGTCTGTGGCTTGATACTTTTCCTCGTCTTCATCACTATCCTGGTCCCTTCTTCCCGTTCTCATCTTCGTGGCTTGATACTTTTCCTCGTCTTCATAACGACTATCCTGGTCCCTTCTTCCCGTTCTCATCTTCGCGGCTTGATACCTTTCCTCGCCTTCATCACTATCCTGGTCCCTTCTTCCCGTTCTCATGTCTGTGGCTTGATACTTTTCCTCGTCTTCATAACGACTATCCTGGTCCCTTCTTCCCGTTCTCATCTTCGTGGCTTGATACTTTTCCTCGTCTTCATCACTATCCCGATCCCTTCTTCCTGTTCTCATGTCTGTGGCTTGATACTTTTCCTCGTCTTCATAACGACTATCCTGGTCCCTTCTTCCCGTTCTCATCTTCGTGGCTTGATACTTTTCCTCGTCTTCATAACGATTATCCTGGTCCCTTCTTCCTGTTCTTATCTTCGTGGCTTGATACTTTTCCTCGTCTTCATCACTATCCTGGTCCCTTCTTCCCGTTCTCATCTTCGTGGCTTGATACTTTTCCTCGTCTTCATAACGACTATCCTGGTCCCTTCTTCCCGTTCTCATCTTCGTGGCTTGATACTTTTCCTCGTCTTCATCACTATCCTGGTCCCTTCTTCCCGTTCTCATCTTCGTGGCTTGATACTTTTCCTCGTCTTCATAACGACTATCCTGGTCCCTTCTTCCCGTTCTCATCTTCGTGGCTTGATACTTTTCCTCGTCTTCATAACGACTATCCTGGTCCCTTCTTCCCGTTCTCATCTTCGTGGCTTGATACTTTTCCTCGTCTTCATAACGACTATCCTGGTCCCTTCTTCCCGTTCTCATCTTCGTGGCTTGATACTTTTCCTCGTCTTCATACGACTATCCTGGTCCCTTCTTCCCTGTTCTCATCTTCGTGGCTTGATACTTTTCCTCGTCTTCATAACGACTATCCTGGTCCCTTCTTCCCGTTCTCATCTTCGTGGCTTGATACTTTTCCTCGTCTTCATAACGACTATCCTGGTCCCTTCTTCCCGTTCTCATCTTCGTGGCTTGATACTTTTCCTCGTCTTCATAACGACTATCCTGGTCCCTTCTTCCCGTTCTCATCTTCGCGGCTTGATACTTTTCCTCGTCTTCATCACAGCTATCCTGGTCCCTTCTTCCCGTTCTCATCTTCGTGGCTTGATACTTTTCCTCGTCTTCATCACTATCCTGGTCCCTTCTTCCCGTTCTCATCTTCGTGGCTTGATACTTTTCCTCGTCTTCATCACAATCCTGGTCCCTTCTTCCTGTTCTCATCTTCGCGGCTTGATACTTTTCCTCGTCTTCATCACTATCCTGATCCCTTCTTCCTGTTCTCATGTCTGTGGCTTGATACTTTTCCTCGTCTTCATAACGACTATCCTGGTCCCTTCTTCCCGTTCTCATCTTCGCGGCTTGATACTTTTCCTCGTCTTCATCACTATCCTGGTCCCTTCTTCCTGTTCTCATGTCTGTGGCTTGATACTTTTCCTCGTCTTCATCACTATCCCGATCCCTTCTTCCTGTTCTCATCTTCGTGGCTTGATACTTTTCCTCGTCTTCATCACAGCTATCCTGGTCCCTTCTTCCCGTTCTCATCTTCGCGGCTTGATACTTTTCCTCGCCTTCATCACTATCCCGATCCCTTCTTCCTGTTCTCATCTTCGTGGCTTGATACTTTTCCTCGCCTTCATCACTATCCTGGTCCCTTCTTCCTGTTCTCATATCTGTGGCTTGATACTTTTCCTCGTCTTCATCACAGCTATCCTGGTCCCTTCTTCCTGTTCTCATGTCTGTGGCTTGATACTTTTCCTCGTCTTCATCACAGCTATCCTGGTCCCTTCTTCCCGTTCTCATCTTCGTGGCTTGATACTTTTCCTCGCCTTCATCACTATCCTGGTCCCTTCTTCCTGTTCTCATCTTCGTGGCCTGATACTTTTCCTTGCCTTCATCACTATCCTGGTCCCTTCTTCCTGTTCTCATCTTCGCGGCTTGATACTTTTCCTCGTCTTCATCACTAGCCCGGTCCCTTCTTCCAATTCTCATCTTCGTGGCTTGATTCTGTTCCTCGTTTTCATCACGACCTTCCATGTTCATGTTTTCTATTCCTTTTTCTGGTTCCTTTTCTGGGCTTAGTTTTTGTTTATTTGTAATTTTACATCGTTCTTCCTTATTTGTCTTGTTTACACGTTTTTTCCATTTATGTTCTCCCATTGTCCTTCTCTCTTCACTCATCATTTCTTTGCGTTTCCTTTCAAATTCTTGCTTTTTCACGGCTTTCGTTTGCTCTTTCTGTTCGTCTTGATTTACTCTATTTGCTTGCCGTTTGTTTCCATATGCCTTCTTTGCTTTGTCTCCTTGATTCATTGTCTCCTCTCCTCTCCTGGTCTCCTTTGCTTTGTCTTCTTGTTCTTTTCTCTCGGATATTTTCTTTGTAATGTCAATTTGTTTTTGTTTTGTGTTTCCTTTTTCGTCTATTTTATCTCTATTTTTACTCTTGTTTTCAGTTTCTTCCTCATATACACTTTCATCCTCATTAACTCTCTCCTTTCCCGTTCCCTCGTATCTCTTCACATGTGGAGAGACACGTCCATCCATTCCCTTCTCTTCCATATGTCTTTTCTTCTTTCTCCTTTTCACTGTTTTTGGGGGGTGGGGGCAAAAAAAAAGTATATATAATAACAACATTGGCATCACCAACAATGACACTATATGGATAATGACAGCAATAAATATATTAAAAATGACATAATCATACTTGTGCAATAATTGTATGATATCAATAATACCTTCATCAATAATATGATGATGATATCAGTGATACTGTCAAAAGTGGTGGTATGAAGATATTACCAGTAATAAAGTCAATAATAGTGGTATTTTAGCATTATCAAAATAAAAGTATAACATTTGTTGTATCAGTAATTTCTTTAATAGAATAATAAAAGTGTACTGACAATGGTGGTCTTAATAAGAGTAATCGGTGTAAAAGTATTAAAATGATAATTGTACTACTAACTGTAATGATAGTGTCCAGAACAGTATTACGAGAAGAGATGTTAGTATACCCCTTTCGCGGACAATCCCAGCAATATGAGCGCCAATGCGAGATGGCTTCTTTACTTTAGGTTTGCGAGCCAAAGAAGAATTCTGAGAACGTGAGATAGATACATACATAAAAAAAATCACACTTTCTTTTCTTTATTATATAAAGTAACGAGTAACTTCATACATCTTATTGCGTTGTCAAAAATAACCCCCTTTCATGTCCGATGCAAGAAAAACCTTCCTTTATTCCCAGTGCATAAAATAGTAATAAAAAAGCCCAGTCCTTCCTTATATCCCGTCAAAAATGAGTCCCTTACACCCCACATAAAAAGATACGCTCTTCATCATACCCGATGTAAAATTATACCCTCTCTCTCTGTACTCTCTTGCCTTTCCTGATATCCTATATGAAAACATGTGTTTTATATGCCGTCAGTTATTAAATGGGTTTTCGAATGAGGTACTCTGACAGTGGTCAAATGCCTTCAATGTTACGCCCTCCAACCAATTAGGGCGGCGTGCCCATGGCATCGCCACCGTACTGAAGAAGACACGCCAACATCATTCATGACTGACCTCACCTTGACCCGTACAATTTAGTCCTGCCACAGGAACCGCCTTGAAAGATACAGTTTCTCTCTTCCCTCATTGAGGTGAAACAGTCTTTGGGTGGCTCTTTCAGAGGGACGAGCAAAGGGCTCCAAACAATGATGTTTATCTTAAAGGTGGAAGGGCATCCCCTCTTGTCTCTCCCCAGGGGTTCACACCTACCGATGTGTTTGCCATGCATGGCATCCTTGTGCGCTGTGGAGACGGGAGTCCTGGAGGTTGAGTGATGCCATGCATGAGTACGCCCTGTGGCTAGCAACAAGCCTCTTTGGTCCCCTATTCCAGCAAGACAGGTGGCCAGATCATGGCCCGGTCAGGTCAATCGCCGTTGGAACTGACACTGTGTCCGTCAAAAATGTTAAAATGTTAAAATGGCTATTGGCTGCATATACCGTTTCACCACTCGTGTAGCTGTTAGACATTGGCTCTAACATTCAGCTTCCCCTTGTTGGACTGGTGGCAAAAGAAAATCTAAGGCACAGGATGACTCTGTCAAACCTGCTACCAAAATGGACAAGACTGAGAAACCATCAGCCACGAACATGTCTGTCCATCAAATTGTCCAGCAGATGGACTCTCGTGCTGGCCTATCCAGGCCTGCAGCCAAGCCAGGGAGGCCCCTGAGTTCCCCTCAGATGTCCTCCCTGACCGAGGTAGAAGCGCAAGCTGAACCTGCCGAAACAGCTGCTGCTCCCATGACCAAAACCCAAAGGGCGAACCGAAGCGACCAAGGCTGGAGACAGACTCTGAGGGAGAGTCTGGAGCCCCTAGGCATTTCCCACAGTTCAAGGTTCCCTCTAAGACTGAAGGCTTCAACAATGCCTACCACCTGGTCAGAGTATCAGAGATGCAGAGGAAAGTCTGGTTGTTATTCCAGGTTGCTTAAAGATGGGAGGAAAGTGTGTCTATCACCACTGAATCCCAATGATAGGAGAGTCAAGATGGTGCTATTTGGCTTCTCAGTTTCGTATGATGTGGAACTGATCACATCACACCCTCAGGTCGTGGAGGTTTCCCAAATATCGAAAGGGAAGATCCCAACCAGGCAAGTCCTGATGACCCTGGAAGGATCCCCAACCACTACCCTTGACCTGGGTAACTGGAGCACCTTTAAATTAAGAGCCTGGGCCACTTCGGTGCATTAAGTGCCAAAAATACGGTCACCATCAGGCTAGCTGCACAGCCAAGCCAAACCGTGGTGTCTGCAGCAAGGCACACAACACCGAGGTGTGCCTAAAGGCATACAAGGAAGAGCAAAGGGACACAACAGCCAAATGTCCCAGCTGTGCCAAGAGGCATCATACCTGGATGGCGGCCCTCAGGCGACAAGAGGTTGCTAAAACTTTGTTCCTGCTCCTCCATGGCACCTTTGTCTGGGGAAAGAACAAAAAAGAAAAGTTTCCCGACCTCCTAAGAGGAAGGAAGCTGCTCCCCAGCAGCAGAAAAAGAACCAGAGGGATAAAGGTTAAAAGAGCACTACAGACTCCCCTCCCCACTCCAACCCAGGCCATGCCCTCACAGGCAGAGCTAAACCAAGCTGAATCTGTGCAGCCAGTGCCAGAAAAGGCTTACCTTACCCAGGTAAAGCTAGCAAAGAAAAAGATAAACACACAAAGTCAGAAGTGAAAAACTAACAAAAGTCAGAGCTACTAAAGGCTCTCCACACCCCAGTGGACCCAAGGATAGCCTGACAAACAGCCCAAAAACAGATAAAGATCCCTCAATCAGTGAGGACTTCACAATGGAGTTGTCAGACTCCAACACCTCTGAATCCGAATACAATGACACCAATTAACATCATGATACACAATCTAAGCATACTGCAGTGGAATGCCATCCCCCACACAATAGTGCGAACAAGGAACATTGGCACTGTCATGCTCCAGGAGACATTAACAATGGAGACTTATGGATGCTGGCCCAGTCCAACTGCCACAACCAAATCCAAGATGGAAAACAAATAAGACCAACTGGTAGGCGTTCCTGAACGCCTTGGCCTATTGTCTGAGATGCAATAAACCCCCACAAAGTGAAAATGTGGAAGAGCTTGAAGCCAGACTTATCAATGCCATAAACCAAGCAGCCTCACAGACCATACCTAAAACTCGGCCTGGGTCTTGAGCCACAAAGACGCCTGGTACTTCAACGACGAGATTAAGGTGGTCAAGCACAAAATTAATATGTGCTGAAAACAATTCTGAAGGCAAAGAACCCCTGACAACCTAACCCTCCTAAGGGAAGCTGTCAGGGATGCCAAGGAAACTGCTAACAGAGTCAGGCAGGAAAAGTGGCTGGAATGGTCCTACGACCACCAAACCCCCCTTACAGAGCTATGCCAACGGATCAGGCGAGCTACCAGCCGCTCAGCCCCGAGGTGAATACATCACATATCACATGTATACACACATGCACAAGCACACACACACACACATTGTAAAGGGTGTTATTTGACCACTTATACATTGGTAACAGGACAGTAAAAGCTTGGTGGCTTTAGTGACTCTTAATTCTGTAAGAGTCTGAGTTAACCACACAGAAATTAATACACACACAAGAAATCTTGAGGGTATGCTTGGGTCGCCTAAGGTCACGACGCGGCCGCAACCCCCAGCGAGCAGAATGGCCGCGCCCAGGGATCAGACTTGACCCGACAGTGGTGGGGCGCAAACTCGACTGACAAGGGTCAAACGCAGGCCTTAAATATCTGAGACGTTGGCTTGGGGGGCGAGGGAGTGTCGAGGCGTGGGCGTGTTATGGCGTCCCCACGCCACGCTGGTGTGGCGTGGGGATGCGACGCGGCCAAAGTCGTGGTGAGCACCCACATGGCTAACGAACTGCCACGTGGCCTATACATGCTTAATACGCTTAATACACCGTATATTGCTCGGCAAATGTAATGGGTATTATTTGACCTCTTATACATTGGTAACAGGGCAGTAAAAGCTTGGTGGCTTTAGAGACTCTTTATTCTGTAAGAGTTAACCACACAGAAATTAATAAACACAAGAAATCTTGAGGATATGTTTGTTCGCCTAAGGTCACGACGTGGCCCCAGCCCCAGTGGGCAGAATGGCAACACCCAGGGATCAGACTTGACCCGACAGCGGCGGGGCACAAACTCTGACTGACAGGGATCATCCTTGGAGTATAAGTAGCGGCGGCCACCGCTAATCTTGATCTCGCGTGCCGTATCCCTGGTGCATCATCATGGCTGCTCGTCCTTGTAGTCATCCTCGTCCTGGTCCCTGGTAAATCCGTCTGTCCTCGACATCCACATGTCCTCAAAGGTATAGCCCAGGTCCTCCTTGACTTCGGATTCGCCAAGACTTCCTCGTAGTCCATGTCCAGGTCTAACTCGGCGGCTTACTCGCCCAATGCACGTCTCGCAGATCTCTCCAGGTCCTTCTCGGCTGTGCGCTCGTATAGACGTCCTCGTAATCTTCGTCAAGATCTACGGGCGTTCAGCAGGAAGCGTCCTCTTCGGCATCGCAGGGCGGCTGATAACTGCGCTGACGAGCTCCTAGAGTTTGACTGGATCTGCGGCGTCCAGTCAGGCAGCGCCCGTCCACAGCATCATGGGGCGACTGGTACCTGCGCTGGCGAGTTCCTGGTCATCCACTGGATCTACGGGCGTCCTGGCAGGCGGCGCCCTTCCACGTTCTGAGGCGGCTTAATACCTGCTCTGATGAGCATCCTGGTCTCCAGGCTTCTGGCGATCCTCCGATGACGTTTTTCAATAGCTTCCGAAGGTGACCGTTTCTGCAGCAGGGCCTCCTTCGGTGCCGTTTCAGATATTGTGAACCAGATTATACACATAAGGGCCAAGATAGTAAGAGAAAAGAAAGACAACAGAGAAGAGAGGGTGCTAAATGCCACTTGCCGATTTTTGTTTATGATTTGCAGTTTTTATGGTCGACTTTTCGTTATTTTCGTCTTTTTTTTTATTTTGTGTTTTACGTTCACAAGTTAAGGTTAAAGAAGAAAATAGGAGAGGGAAGCGGTGATAGCGTCTGCAAGGACTATCTTGAACTACCAAACCGTCTCTTGATCGATATGAGAATAAAGTAAGGGAAATGACAATTGGCAATCCGCAAGGATTTACTTGAACTAAATGTCAAACCAGAAAGGAAAGTATGTAAAGTACGAATTCATGTACAAGTCACACATCACGATTGACAAAATCGCGGGCAAAGAGATGCATATGCCTGCAACTACGACAGCACCTAACCCTATTAACCCAATGGTGCCGGGGAAAATGAACAAAAAATGGAGAAAATGCTGTGCCCACTTTCTATGTTTTTCGTGAAATGTCTGCCGATAGATGGCTCTGCTAGCACCTGATTTGAAATGGTGGGAAAAACGTATTTTTCTCTAGTGCTATGAAAATCGATGGTGTTATTTTTATCATAAACATTATAATTTTTATAATGTTTTTTAACATTAGTAACAGCAAAATAAGATTACGTAAAATATTTCGTAAATCAAAGAAACGGGTAAACGGGCGAGACGGGTGGTACTCGTAACTGGCTCATTGGGGAGTTAGTACAAGTGTTGCCATCTACGCGTAAAAACAATCAAACAAGTATTCACGGTGGGCATAGCATGTACGTACACGTCATACCCAGCACCAATGGGTTAATGAAGGTTTCAGTGTCTTTTGTTTTGCGTCGGTGAATGAGTGACTGTGTGTGCATGTGTGAGTGACAGTGAGTGGGAATGATAAATGAGAGTAAGTGACCTCATACAGAGCGGGAATGTAGCCAACACGGAGAATAAAGTTCATTTTAACAATAATGCAACTAATTATTTATAGACGTAATACAAAATTATTAAACAACCACATTGAATTTGACATTAAATGATATGCGACAGAATGACGCATTAATGAATGGTGACGTGAAATTATTCGCAAGCTTCTTTGCGAGCGAATCTTCTCGGAACTGCCGAGATAAGATAAGTAAGTCTTAACTGGGCAATGCAGGCTTCATTGACGGGTGGGACTATACCCAAAAATGCCGTACTTTAGTGAAGCTAAACGAACTGGGAAAATGTATAAATAACCCACTCTATCTGCGGATCTATGATGGGCGCTCATAAAATGACCTAGGGGATTTATCATGAATCACAAAACGATGGGATTAACCCAAACATGCCAGCGACCTTTAAAAGTGTGAACGGGGTGTGATTAACTAAATGGATCCTAAATCAGACTTAAACCCTAGTCCTAAATTAGTTAATGGCCGGTCACACCGGCTCAAAATTTGCTGAGCGTATGATTTACTTCGGTTACCTAACCTACTATCATTACGTCAGGACGCATGAGTCATTACACATAAATGCAACCTCAAGTACTCAGACACTCTGACACTTATGATATAAGGAATAATCTCTTGGCATTATATTCAATATATGAGTCGCGTTACAAGCTTCGTTCTAGCGCCGATAGAACGTGTCACCAATGAACATGTAACGGTTGCTATGAGTTATCCCTATATTGTGACAATTAGTGGAAACAACTAAAAGGAGATAGCACGCTGTTTTCTCAGCCATTTCACTGTGTCAATCACTCAAGACAGGAAATGGGGAGAGAAATAAATTAATGAGTGAATCTTCGTGAAAGAATGAAATCACGATCGCTGAATTCATTGCAATTGAAACAATATAATTCTCTAATCTATAATTCTCTGACTGACAAGGGTCAAACGCGAGCCTTAAATATCCGAGACGTTGGCTTGGGGAGCGAGGGAGCGTCGAGGCGTAGGCGCGTCATGGCGTCCCCACGCCACGCCAGCGACATGGCCAAAGTCGTGGTGATCACCCACATGGCTAACGAACTGCCATGTGGCCTATACATGCTTAATAGCTTAATACACCGTACACACACACACACACATAAATACATATATATATATATATATATATATATATATATATATATATATATATATATATGTATTTATGTTTATTTAAATATACATAAACACACACACACACACACACACACACACACACACACACACACACACACACACACACACACACACATATATATATATATATACATATTTAAAAATATGCATAAATGAATGAATAAATAAATAAATATATATATAGATAGATAGATAGGTATATACATATATGTATATATATGTATATATATATATGTATATATATATGTATATATATGCATATATATATATATATACATATATGTATATATATATATAAATACACACACATATATCTATCTATCTATTTATATATATATATTATATCTGTAAGGGCCTCTAAACATTGGTGACAGGTAATAGTATTCGTATTCGTTCTCGACATCATCACGTACTCGGCTGGTCTCGCGCAGGTCCTCGACCAGACATCCTCGTAGTCCGCGTACAGGTCAACCTCGGCGGCTTATTCGCCCAATGCACGTCTCGCAGATCTCCGTCAAGGTCCTTTTCGGCTGCGCGCTCGTACAGACGTCCTCATAATCTTCGTCAGGATCTACGGGCGTCCGGCAGGAAGCGTCCTCTTCGACATCGTAGGGCGGCTGATACCTGCCCTAATGAGCTCCTGGAGTTTGACTGGGTCTGCGGCATCCAGGCAGGCCCGTCCACAGTATCATAGGACGGAGAACCTCTACTGGCGAGCTCCTGCTTCCGCTGGATCTCGGGTGTCCTGGCGAGCGGCGATCTCCGATGACGTTTTCTAATGGCTTCCGAAGGTGACCGTTTCTGAGGCAAGGCTTCCTTCGGTGCCGTTTCAGATATCGGGAACCAGAATAACACATAATGGGCCAGATAGTGAGAGAAAGAAAAACGACAGAGAAGAGAAGGTTAAATGCTACAAGCCGATTTTTTGTTTCATAATTTGCAGTTTTTAAAGGTGAATTTTCGTTATTTTCGTCTTTTTTTTTCATTTTGTGTTTTGTGTTCACAAAGTTAAGTTAACAGAGGAAAATAGAAGAGGGAGACGGTGATAACGATCCGCAAGGATCCTCTTGAGCTACCATCGTCTCGTGAAATGATAAAGTAAAGGAAACGACAATTGGCGTTCCACAAGGAATTACTTGAACCATTTGTCGAACGCGAAGAAAAGTGTAGTGATTGACAGGTATCAATGAAAGTAAGAGTGACCTCCTCTAGCAGTAATGTTGCCAACACGCTGAATAAAGTTCATTCTAACAATAATGCAACTATATAATTATTTATAGATGTAATTCAAGATTATTTCAAGTACCACATTGAATTTTCCCGAGGAAGTAGGTATGTCTTACCGGTCATACAGACTTTATTTGACGGAGGGGACATCCCCAAAAATTTCCGTATTCTATGAAGCTTAAACGAGCTGGGAAAATCTATAAATTACCCACTCTATCTGCGGATCTACGATGGGCGCTCGTGAAATCCCCTACGGAGATTTATCATGAATCACGAACCGATGGGATTTTACCCAACACGACGGGGACATATAAAGTGTAGTGTGAGCAGGTTGTGATTAATTAAGTGGATCCTAAATCAGACTTAAATCCTAGTCCTAAATTAATGGACATAATTGCGGTCACCCTGGCTCAAAGTTTGCTGAACGTATGATGTACTTCAGTTACCTTAACCTACTCTCATACGTGAGTCATTACGCATAATTGCAACCTTTCAATGAGGATACCTCTTGGCGCTATATTTAATTATACAAGTCGCGTTACAAGTTCCGTTCTAGCGCCGATAGAACTTGTCACCATGAACATGTAACGGTTGCTATGCATTAACCCTATATTGTGACAACTAGTTCAAACAATTAAAAGGGAATTGCAAGCTGTTTTCTCAGCGATCACTGTGACGATCACTCAAGGTCAAGTCAGGTCAGAGCTACCAGCTGTCTAGGCAGGCTGACTTATTGACTTTCACGTGAGGTCAGGTCAAAACAGAAAATGGAGAGAGATGAATTTAACCCCTAGTTGCCGGGTATGACGTGTACGTACGTGCTATGCCCACAGTGAGTACTTGTTTGATTGTTTTTACGCATAGATGGCAACACTTGTACTAAATCACCAATGAGCCAGTTACAAGCACTGCCCGTCTCGCCCGTTTACCTGTTTCTTTGATTTACGAAATATTTTACGTTATCTTATTTTGCTGTTACTAATGTTAAAAAACATTATAAAAATTATAATGTTTATGATAAAAATAACACCATCGATTTTCATAGCACTAGTGAAAAATACGTTTTTTCCCGCCATTTAAATCAGGCGCTAGCAGAGCCATCTATCGGCAGACATTTCACGAAAAACATAGAAAGTGGGCACAATATTTTCCCCATTTTTGGTTCATTTTCCCCGGCACCATTGGGTTAATGAGTGAATATTCGTGAAAGAATAAATTCACGAACGCGCTAAATTCGATACGATTGAAACAATATAACTTAATCACGAAAAAAAATTTAAATAGACGCTTAATAAATGAACGATTTCATACTGTTTAACTCCATACCGCGATTGACAGTAATGAGAAGTGAGGTCAGAGAATGAGAAATGAGAGTATGCCATTGCTATTCTTAGCACTTTTAACCCAAAAAACTAACGTGAGCTGGCTGTACACGGCCTAACACATTTAGGAAAAAATAGAAAAGAAATGAAAGAGAAGGGGCCCATAAATGTGTACTCACGGTTTGAAGATGCCATCTTGTGTTTGTTTGAAGCTGAGCGGTTTTTCTTCGGAGGCTGATTCGGTTGCGCGCCGAAAGGGCGCAACAACCACCGCCCGCCACCAGAATGTAAGGGTTAGTATAAGGACCT